AAGAATTATAATTTGACATATTAACCCTTTTGTTACGAGGGTCCACTATAGTTCGCATCCACGCGACTGTTTTTTATTTAAATTTATTTTGATGATACTTTTCCAGTATTTCCCTAATTAATTGCAATTGAAACTTTGCCGTAAATATGGGTTTTCTTATTTTATGTTTATAAAGGCAATAAGCATTACACATGCATATATTTAACAAATGTAAGTAAATTTGGATAATTTTTTTTTCCATGCCTGAATACTATTGTAAACACTGCTGTATGCATAAAATGTAATTATTTTTATGTTTCTCATATAATACGACGAAACAATTGTTATGTAAACTTAAAAAATGTACATACAAGAGAATGTCAATGTAACTTTGAAAGACGTAAGTGCGAATATAAGAAGAATACTGACGTGCAATGTGCACACTTTTTGACACGGTGCCCCAATCAGTAGCATTACTCCGATGGAGCGGACTGCCATAACGAAAGGATTAATTAATGTTCCTAAAATATTTGAAAAAATGTATTCAAATACCTTTGGCATTGTATTAGCTTTCTTCAAGATTCTACCAGGTTTTACAATTTGAGGCAGTGGTTGCAATGGCTTTACTGGTTCTGGTGTTACAGGTTGAACTGGTTTTGCTGGTTTAATTAATTGTTGCTTCAGTGCCATAATTCTTTTATCGCACATCATAGATACATCTTCTATTCTTTGTAAAACCTTATGCAATGATTATGAACTTCAATAGAAGTGTTTCCTTTTGTTTAAATGTAGATAAAACGAATCGTAAGAAAAAATTATAAAAACAAATTCAAACCTGAGTAATAAGTGCCTTGGTTTCTGGCATGATTGAATCTTGAAAAATACATCTAGGATGATGAAATTCTTCTGCAGCTTCTATTAATTGTTGCAGTTCTTGAAGAGCTTGGTCTGGAGACGTAGTGCTATTTTGTGATGCAAGTAATTCTATACCACGCGTGCACCAAGTATTAGCCTAAATACAAATAAAATACAAAATATGATCGATCGATCTATCAAATAATTAAAAGAATGATTTTAAATAAACAGTGTACTACCTTATCTATACGCTCCATGAGTTCTCTACATTTTGTTAACATATGTAATCGCCTTTCTAATCGTTGACTAAGGATAGTACAAATCCTCTGAAGTTCCACGCATTTTGGTTCAACGACATCCGCAGGACACTGATGTCTTCCAGATAACAATTGTTGACCTGCAGATATCACTTCCTCAGCACGATCTATGTCTCCCTATAAGTATATATAATTATACTTATATGCAACTTAAATTATTAAGACAATAAAACTCTACAAGCAATCATATTTTTGGAAATTTCTTTTTTTTTAAATCTAATAAAATCTTTTTATAAAGAAATAGACTATTATATATATGTATGTATATACGTGCAGTGCATAGTGAAAAATAACAGTACTCATTCTCAAAATATATCATGCCAATATACGGCATGAATCAAATCTCTATACTTCTTTTTCTTGTTTTCCTTTTTCTTTTTTTTACAATATAAAAAACATAAGTATATTATATAACAATATATATATTAAAAGATAGAGATTTAATTCATTAAAACCAGCAAATACTTGACAAAATAAAAAGATAGATTCAATTTAGATTCAAGTATATACCAATAGACAGAAAATTTAGAAATGTAGATACTAAATTACAGATAGAAATATTTTAAAATGTAAATTCTATCACAGAATACATGTATTTTGTTAAGTGGATTGCTTACCAAGACCCAAATCCACATGGTATGCAACAAATAGGACTATCGACAAAATGAGGAAAGCGGTGCAGAGTAACATTTTGTGCATGATGTGCATTATATATGTTACTGCTTGTGAAAATATCCAAACCAGAATTCTTTATATTTCTACACATTTAAAGGAAAATAAATATTTATATTATATTAACTTTAATTTTTAATTTTTTTTTTGGAATAAAAAAGATTATACTGGTTTGGATCGCTCAGTGCTTTTTGTGCAACATTTACGATTTTAAATGTACAGCTATTAATGTAATTATTATTTTTGTTCTTTTTTAAATTAACTTTCCTATGACTTTATATTTAACACTTATGTGTGTTCAATTTAGAGATATCTCTTTCATACATATGTAAATATACATATATATGTATGATGTAATATACACACACGAGACATTAAAAGTGACAAATTTTCAAATGGTATTATGTTTACCATAAATTTTATTCAAGTTGATAGCCTCCTCAGTGTAGCTGTTTTATTCAATATTTGACTTATATATTTTTCAAATAAAGCAGTTAATAACGCACAATAAACTATAATTAACATACACACCCTGCATATTCTTTGAAATGCTGACGTATCACAGAGTAATTGTTCAACTCTTGCTTGAGTCTCTCCAACTTCGGTCATTTCTTCTACAGTTTTTAAATGTTGATCTAACGTTGCTTGCAGCTCTCTGAAGTCTTGTTCGAACTGTCTCAAAGCAAGACAGTGTCTCAAACGTGAACTGTGATGCGACCAAAATAGGTCAAACGTACGTTCGGTTTCTTCTAGTTGCACAAGTAATCTATGTAGAGAACAAAAAAGGAATCTCGTATAGATTTATTTTTAATACTATAATAGAAGTAAGAATTCTTTTTGAAATTTATTATTATTACCTTTCTACCGCTGCAACATTTCCTAATCTATCCGGTGTACTTTTGCCAGTTAATTGTCGTACGCTATCTAAAAGAGCCTCGCCATGTCTAGCAGCACTAAGTATTTCTTCTTTCAATTCATTATATTCTGCTTGCTGTTGAGATAATAAAGTTGTAGTAGCAATCGTATTATTTGGAAATTCTATTTCAGCTAAACGTTGAGTAAAAGAATCCAATGCAAGTGATACATCTTGTGTCATAGATGAAAATTTTTCTAAACTCTATAAATTATAAAATACAAAGACGATTATTAGAAATATATTTTTATAATAATTAGATATTAAATATTCTAAAATATATATTTACAATTCTATTTTGTATCCAAGTATGATGACAATATGGTAGATTTCCACCTAGTTGTTCAGTAAGTTGATCTTTATCTACAATCTCATAGAGTTCGGTAACATTCGCTAAAAATATAACTCGAAATTTGAAATCTTCTCTGAACAATTTATTTGACACTTCTGATATAGCTTTTTGTAAAAAACCAGCTGGTCGCAAAACATACGCTACGTGTACCAATCCAGGAAAAAATCCCTTATGTACAAAAAATAAAAAACAATGAAATATTTAATCAACGGAGACAGTAAAAAAAATTTATTTAAATAAAACAATAATAACAAATTAATACCTACAGAAATTTTCAACAGGACTGTTTTGACTGAATTCCACTTATCATTTCTTCTATCAATAATTAGGTGAAATCCAAGATCAGCTTCTTGTAAACTGAAAAATATTTGTTTTATTATATACTCAAAAATAATTGTGTTTCTTTTTTTTTTATAATTATATAAAATTGATTCTTACGTTGGCACCGAAGTGAGATATAGCATGAGACGCTGATAATCCAAATCAGTCAAATTATGGAAGCTACCATTATCAGGAAAAGTAATTATTGGACATCCTTCTCTTGTCTTACCTCCTATATATGCACAGAAAGAAAGACAAAATTAAATAAATACAGAAAATAAATAAATAAAATATTAATATTAAAGTTTTGATTATTGATCACACAATTATGAATATATTAAATGAAAAGTTAGTTTTTATTTACCAGCAATTATAGCATATTGTGGTTGAAGAAGATCTGCAACATCTTGAACTGCAAGATCCCCGTTTTCTATTTCACCGGTCATACTCTCGACATCTTCTACAAAAATAATACAAATAATTTAATATATAGTTTAACAATTTTTTAAGATTTCATTTTAAAGTATTACGAAAATATATATAAACATTATATTTAAAATTATAATTATTTCATTAGGGCACTGCACACAGTTTAGTTTAACTATTAGAAAAGCCAATCTAATTATTTAACAGTGTTTTATTTAAAAAAAAAAAAATTTATAATAATTATTGTAATATACAAATATATTACAAACAGAATTAAATGTAAATACATGCGTATGTAATTTCACTATAATAATGTGTTTTAATAACATTTACTGATAGTAGTATGCACTTCTTCACTATGAACTGTACACCAAAACTGTGAGAATAGTATCTGATCCTAGATTGCACTCATATGACCTTGCAGAACCCAACCAGTTGAAATAGTTCCCTGTTGTACCTACAATATTGCTAATATAACTGTAAAATAAGAGGCTCTCAAACGTGATGCATTTTATTCATTTAATGTCTGTTAATATTTAAGATATATGTATATATCTTATAAATAATTATTGTATGATCTTTAATAATCTTTTTATCATTGCAATTTATAATTAATCTATATAAATAAGATAAAATAAAATAACAATCCAAATATGTTTAAATATTTTTCATTATAACATGTTATTTTATTGTAAATGATTTCTTTTGCGTTAAATAGTTCGATAGTAAAATTTAATTATATAAATTATATTTTTATTATTAATGTTCTTCAGATTCTTAAATTGAGAAACACTGAGCTGCTAGATGAGAATTTATTTCTTGAATCTGAAATGAGAAATATTTCGAATTTTTATGTTCCTTCTTGCATATAAATTATCTAGGGACATATATTTTTATATATTAAAAAATATTTACCACAATTTTACTTTATATTTTAAAGAATATAT